AGGGAAATGACTCAGGGTACTCCATCGGCAGTCACGACAGGTGGGTACAGCACACCGCAGATGCTTGGAAACATGCTCTGATTTTTCAGGGAAGGCAATAAATGCAAAGCCCTGAGGGACTGTAGGAGAGAGGCTCATGGTAAAAGATGAGAAGAGCCCTCGATTCCCAGGATCCTGCCCAGTTCAGCAGACAGTGCTGAGCAGATGGGTTATCTTTAACAGATTGCCTCAAACAGGGGCCACAGTCCTTCTCCAGTTGCGGACCCTCGAAGCGCTGAATGACAAAGTATTAACGTTATTAGCTTATAAGGACGACGCAGCATCTTAAAATAAGCCTCATCCTCAAAAGGCAATCACTAGGTCCAGAAGAGTATTTTTAAAGTACACTGTCTTTGGAGGAAGGTCACAAGTACTCAGAGAAGACTGCATGGACAAAATGAGGACCGGAGTTATTTACAGCAGAGAAAGCAAGCTACGCACACCGATATAAAAATAAGATTTAATAATAAGAGGAATTCTCTTGTCTTATGTAAGGGTCAGAAGGGTAACGGTCTCTCGGAATCTCATGGCATATGGAACCGCAGTAATGAATGGTATTAAGATGATAAATGGACTGACCTTTAGCTAATAACATACTGATCTTTCTGACAAACACATTCAGATCTTGGAACACAAGCTTTTATGGACAGAGACTTAACATTAAAGTGTGCGTTGTTTCTGGGGTGAGGGGGAGGCATACAGAAAGGTAGGTTTCCTAAACACACAAGAAAAGGAAGCAAGTGTTACAGGAAAGGATAGCTGCCAAGACACAAATATGGAGGACACTTTGAGGAGGAAGAATTAAGAGACCCTTTAATAAGATCTATCTAATGTATGAAACAGAACGGTCCTATCCTTTGTGCCTGACAGGCTTCAAAGTCCTCGCAGAGACAGAAATATTGCACGTGCCTTTGATGCGATGTGCAGTCAGAGGAGACATCCAGGACAGAGTCCTCGGTACAGGAAGAAAGAAATTCCTACAGATACTTACAATTGTTCCCTCCACAAACAGTTTGTGCTTCACGAAACTCATTTCAGCGCTCCTCTCTAGTTGCTTTCTGCTTACTTTAGGATAGGCGCCTGCGGTTCCCCCAGATCAGACTGCAGCTCTCCCAGTCCTATGGGCAACTCTCAAGGTCGAGTTTATCTAGAGATCTCTCACCCTCGGAAGCAGGACAGGCTTTAAATGTGAGTACAGATTTTGGGAAGAAATTACACTACCAATCTATTGTCTAGAAAAGAGGTACAGAGAATGATTTCACTGTTTTGAAATGTTTTGCCTGTTTTATGCACCAGAATAAAAGCGGGTCACAGTAGGAAGGAAGATCACTGGTTCCGAGCTCAGATATAAAAATTAGTATGTTTTAACTGGATAGCAAAAGAGACAAAAACTCCGCAATGATGAAAAAAAAAAAACCCTTGTGTATATGGAAGAGCTGAGACCTAACTGCTCTGCGGCTAACGCAGCAAGGGCTCCCAACCTGAACACGTTGATAACACTGTGTGAGAAGTTTCCCATGAAAATATGGATATTGATAGCCTAAAATTTAATAGAAAAAAACCAATTCCATTTAGATCTGCTAGGCTTCAAGCAAGTCAAGGGTACATTATGCCCTTTGCTGTAATGTAAAATTAACTTATTTATGGAAGAATTTAAGTGCTACTTAAAGTACCGAAACCACTATCTCTAGATAATATTTCAGAAGCTAGCAGGAAGCAACACTTAAGAGACTTGTTGCTCCCCTCCCCCCACCTTCAAATTAAAAAAAAAAAAAATTAAAAAGCAAAGCAGCAGGCCACTCGCCTGAGTTTTCACAGCTTTATACACCAGCCTGGAGAACTTTAAGTATAAGAAGAATTACAGAGCAACATGGCCATGCACACAACGATTTATTGCATGTCTTGCCTGCCTAGTGGCGCAGAGAACCAACAGAGATGCTGGATTATATACTGCACAATTTTAATTCCCCCATCCAGTAAACATAGTAAATAAGAGCACAGCCTGTCCTGGTTTAACGGAAGGATCCTTTGCTACTTGGGCATGATGCTGCTTACATCAAATCTGGTGGAAATTTTTGTTAAGACTTCTAAGAAGAAGGAGGGGCTGCTCTCTCATGAAAGGAGACAACAGCACCTTCCACTGCAAAGCAAAAACCTCCATGAAAACATCTTTGAAAAGCGGCCGCAGTACTACGGCTTGAGTCTGAACATCCCCGCCCACATGGCTTTGAGGCACTGCTTCCACAGAAGGGGTTCCCAGAGCCACTGCACGGGCCAGTTGCTTCATCCCTCCGGTGAGAAGGTCCTTTTGGAAAACTTTCATTTGGAGGACACTGGAATCTAGGAAAATTACCTGACTTCTCTTAAAAGAGCAACTTTATACCAACGGGTTTGGAGTTTAATGGGGATCTTCACTCATGAGCTTGGAGTTAAATGAGTGAGCAACTTCAAGTACATGCTTAAGGCTCCCTAAAACCCTTGAGGAATAATTGTGACATCTCCTTTTTACAGCATTGGAAAACCGCTTGTTACGGGACCAGGCCGACTAGTGTCTCCAGCAATAATGACTCCGTACTGTACACAACAAATGCCTTTGAAATGAACCTTCTGCTTTTAAGAATCGCTCCTCTCCCCGAGAACTACTTTAAATCATTCTGTTCTACGTTTTAGCCAAAGATTTCTAAGAAATGCCTCCACACTGCTGTTCTATACAGATATCTCAGCTTGTTCCCCTAAGGGGGTTCAACATACAGAACTTGTTTCTCCTGTGGCCTCCTTACGCATTTCAGAGGAGAAATAAAAAGACAGACATGAAGCACTTTCTCATTCTCAGAAAAGAACAGAAGCCATGCTCCCCACTGCTCTCTCCCCAGCGCCCGTCTCAAAGACAAAACCTCCACTTTTAAATCAAACTGAAGAAAAAGGGCATTTGATATCATGGTCTAGGAAAAGCTCCCATTGAAGTCAGCAGG